AGCAGTGGAGCTGGGGAGGGTGGACTCCAGCAGGGGTGGGGTGGGCGTCTGCTGCTCCAGGGCTGTGGGTTGCTTGCTGCTCGAGCTCTGGACACTGACAGTGTACAGGCCGGTGAGGGTCACTGCTGGCTGCTGGCCCTCCACACCTGCCTTTGGGGTGCCCATGTTTTGGGGGGAGCTGCTGTTCCGACTCTGGCCTAGGTCAGCCTGGACACTCTTGTGGGCCTTGTCCAGGGAGCTGGGGCGGGGCCGCCCCTTGATGGACACGAGCCGCTCGACCATCTCCTCCAGGGTGCATTCCTGGGCTGCAGTGGGGACAACTGGGATCAGGGCAGAGGGCCAGAGGAGGCAGGCAGGCGGGGGCGGAGGGAAAGGTGTGGCCCCCTCCCTCAGGTGGGGGCAGGTTAGGGGTCAAGGATGGGTACCTCCCACGATCTGAGAGCCCAGAGTGTGCCCACTAGGCTGGGTCAGGAAGGGGCTGTGGGCAGGGTCACTCACTGTTGCTGGCCAGGAGCACGGCCCGGTTCACCAGGCCCTCCAGGGCCTCCCAGAGCAGCTGGCTGGAGCGGAGGCCGGGCTCCAGGTAAAGGAGGCCCTGCAGCACCGACAGCAGCTGGGCAGACACCGGGGAGCAGCTCACCTGGGCGGGCGGAGTGGGATCAGCAGCCACCCCCTCCCTGGGGTGGGCTGACACCCACCCGCCTGTTCGCCTGAAGTGTCCATGCCACGACCACCCGATGCCTCTCAGGGGCCCTGGTGATGAGCCTGCGTCGGGGTTCCCGAGTGACAGCCCAGTGATGCTTGGGGCAGACAGCTCTCTGGGTTGGGGCTGCCCTGTGCATTTGGGACGTTTAGCAGCATCCCTGCCCACTTGTGCCAACCCCAAAGTCTCCAGACGTTTCTGGAGGACCCCTGGGGACACTTGCCCTGGTCTGAGAACCACTGGCTGCAGGGAGGGACAGTGGCCCCAGCCAGCGAAGCTTGAGCTGGACCAGAACTCAGCCTCCTGGTTCTGAAGTCCCTTCATTCCACCTGAGGGGGGCCAGCCCGTTGGGCCCAGGACAGTACAGCCAGCTCTGGGCAGCCCTGGCCTCGGCCCCGTATTCCTGGTCCTACGGCCTCCTGGTCCTGCCATCCCCGGGCCGCCCACTCCAGGCCCCTCCCATTCCCAGCCCCAGATCCCTGGCCGCTCCGGAGCTGGCTCCAGATGTGGTTCCACTGCCCAGTGGCGAGGCTGGGCCAGGGCAGGGGGGTGCCCACCTTGTGGAACAGGCAGTCGAAGACCTCCTGGTGGCTGTTCATGTCGACGCCTCCGCACACTTGCAGCAGCTCCTCCTCGTCCTCCGCCTTGGCCTCGTCGAAGGCCTCGAGCTGGATCAGCAGGTCCGCGTCCTCCAGGTCCCTGCGACGGGAAGGACCGGGCAGCTGAGCCCAGAGCTCCCACCAGCCTCCCCCGACCCTGGACAGACACACGGACAACCAAGCAGGGCCCGTGGCCGTTGTAGCCAGGGGGCAGCTGAGGTCTGTGCGGCTGGGTTCTCTGGTCGGGGCAGAGGCTCACAGGATGGATTCGAGGAGGGTGGCACCAAGACCATACCTGATGGGGCGGGGGGCTGGGGCGTGACTGGAAGGGGGGGCTTCCACCAGAGCAGCAGAGCCTGAGTGTTCATTGGGCCCAGGACCTGCCAGTCATCTCAGTCTGGCCGATGAGCTGCACCCTCAGCAGCAGGGCAACCCCTCTCAGCACCCCAAAGACCTCTGTTGGAGGCCAGTTCAGCACCAGTCACACCAGCCTCACCTCTTCTTCCTTGGGTCCCCCCACCCCAAGCTGATGCCCTGGAGAGTGGTCCTGATGAGGCCTCAGATGGGGGTTCTCAGCTACGTGGGTTCCCAGGTACCCAATTAAATTTGAATTTCAGATAAACAATGATTTTTAGCATAAGTCCGTCCCATGCAACACCTGGGATATACTTATACTACAACAACGCTGTCATCTACAGTTTAACTGGTGTCCTGTACTGTATCTGGCAACCCCAGTTTTAAGGGCAGCTGCCAAGCCCCTGGGTGGGGAAATTCCAGAGCAGCTCATCCAGCAGGGCAAGGGAAGGATGGCTGGGTTCTTGCTGGGACCCGGGGCCCCCTGCCCACCGAGGGGCACTGCATGGGACCCAAAGGGGAGGTGGCGAGGCTCTAGGAGCAGCAGGTGGGGACTCACCGAAGCCGCGTGAGAATGTCCAGCAGCTGCAGCCCTGGGGAGGGACAGACAGGGTCAGCCGGAGGGGCCTCCATCTTTCAGTTACCTGACGCCTTCCCCTGGGTTCACTCCTGACACCCAGAGCACCCAGCTGTGGAGTGGGAGGGGACTCTGCCATTCCCACGGGACACCATAGACATGAAGCTCAGAGGGAGATATTTTGTTGGACACTCAGTGGTGCCCGTCAAAGGGTCACTGTCACAACTGCTGGGGGCTGGGACTGGGGGTCAGGATCCTGCCTCGAACTGAGAGCCTCCGGGGCTAACATCCAGGGGTCCTGAAGGCCTCTGTCCACAGAAGGGAGCAGGTGGGGGTGGGAGGCTTCCATGGCCCATAACAGAGCCTTCTGTTGGGGCCTGGGGTTGGGGGGTGGTCGGGGGCGCTCGGGACATCTCCCTGAGGTCAGCGCAGGCCGGGCTCACCGATGAACTCGCTGCGCAGCTGGGTGCGGGTGCGCAGGTCCTCGGGACCCAGGATGATGGCGTTGATCACGCTGAGCAGGGTGACCACGTAGGGCGCGTTGTCACTGCTGGACAGCTCGGTCATGATGACGCTGAAGCGGTACTGCTGGCTGCACACCGTCTGCGGGGTGGGGGGCGTCAGCCTGCACCCCGGACCCTGCCCAGGCCCAGCCACCCGCCACTCACCTTGTAATGGTCCAGGGCGTCCAGGGTCAGGGCGTGGCCCTCAGGCGAGTAGATGCACAGGGCAGCCAGCAGCTCAAACACCTGCATCTTCACCATCACATTGGAAGTGTCCAGAGCTGTCGAGGGCGAGAGGGGTCTCAGTGGGGCCCAGGTGTCCAGCGCAGGCCTCCCCCTCAGCCCGTCCCCCACCTGTGCCTGCCTCTGCCCAGAACTGCCACACTTCAGCTGGAAAAGTGGGCGGTAGGCAAACACCGGGGGGCACTCTGCACTGACCCCTCCCGGACCACAGGCAGACTCAGGCAACTGGAACCGCCCCTTAGTTCCGCAAGGCCCTGGCTGGCTCTGGGCCCTGGGCCCCACCGGCACACCTCCCCTGGGCAGAGCCTGTGTCATCCACAAACTCAGTACCCACTGCCTCCCGCCTCATCCCCTGCGCTGGGAAAGTTTCGGAGATGTCCCTTGGTTGGCCCTGCTGAGAGCAAGTCACAAAGGACTTTCCTGACGGGCACGGCCAGGCCCAGACTGGGTCAGACAGGAACGAGGTGACCACTATCTCGCTCATCCACACGGACACCCACCTGTCACTGCCCATCCCCGGAGCCCAAGCAGGAAGGACTTGGTCACTGCCACAGAGTAGCAAGCATGGTGGACAAGGGACACAGTGACCTCTGTCTGCCAAGGGTCATCTGGGGTCTCTCCCAGATGCCTGGGAAACTTTCTGAGGAGGTGACTGAGCTGGGATTTAAAGGGCGAGCAGGACTTTGCAGACTCGAAGCCCGGAGCAGCGTGACGCGGAGGCAGAGACTGGGGCCTGCCTTCAAGAAGCCGCAGGTGGCAGGGGCAGGGGCAGGGTGGTGGGGGAGCAGATGAGAATGACGCTGTTGCAGGTGCTGGCCAGACCTGAAGGGCGCCGGCTGGCTAAGGGTGAGGGGCTCAGAGCCAGGCGGAGGGTAGGGTCACTCAAGCGGACTTTTGTTTTTGTCCCAGGTGACTCCAGCTGCCACAGTGTGGATGGGAGCCTGGAGGCCGGAGACCAGGGAGGGGTGGGGCCTGAAGCAGCAAAGGGCTGGGTGGAGAATGGAGGCAAAGTCATAGAACAAAGGGGGCATCTAGGTGCAGCTGGTGAGGGACCAGGGCTCCAAGGTGTCCTGGGGTGTGTGTGTGTGTGTGTCTCAGACTTGGGGCAAATGGGAAACTGGTGCCTACTCCAGGAAGCCCTCCCTGCTTGCCCAGACAAACTGTCTCCTCCTGTGGGCCCAGCCCTCCCACCGCCTTCCACAGCCTGGAGCCTCATACTGAGTCGCTAAGGTGTCTGTCCTGGCCTGCCTCCCCCCGGCGCCCTGCACGGCTCACCCTGCGAGAGCTGGCGCACGTAGGCCTGGTTGCTGAGGATGTACTCCATGCCCTGCTGCGAGTTCATGACGGCACGCACGCAGCTGACGCAGGTGAGCTGCAGCAGGGCGTCGGAGATGCGGGCCACACCGCGGCCCGACAGGCGCGCCAGGGCCTCGAGCAGCAAGTCCAGGCCGCTCTGCTCCAGGAACTGCACCATCCAGCCGCCGTCGCTGCCCTCCAGCCGCTTGCGCAGGCCCGAGTAGTTGACCACGGACGGCATCTGCAGCAGCCGGATGCAGAGCTCCGGGTCCGCGTTCTCCAGGTTGGCCTCGGTGGGGTCGGAGTCCTGCGGGCCCAGCTTCTCCTTCAGGGCCGCCCACTTGCGCTGAGCGCCTTCCTTCACCGACATCTTGTCGAACTGCGGGGCCGGACGGAGGTGGGGTCAGCAAACCCAGCCGGGCAGCGTCCTCCGCTCCGGATCCCCACCCGCCAGAGTCACAGCGCTTCCCGGTGACACCTGCAGCACCGGGTGCTGGCTCCCGTGCCAGGGGCTCCTGCCAGAGGAGGCAGCAGCCCTGCTGTGAGTGCCATGACCTCAGGACAGCCCCAGGGGCCACACCACTGACCCAGTGGTGACAATGCAACCGGATGTTGTATCTGGGACGCCCTTACCTCACCTCCAGGGCACTTCCCTTGTCCAGTGGCTGGGTCAGATGGGCACAATGGACGGGTGGGGTGAATCCGGACCCTGGGCACTCCCAGGCTGCCCGAAGAGCATGAGTGTGACCGGGAGGAGGGCGGACTTGAGGGTCATGCCCAATGCCCATCCAACTCTGGGCAAGACCAGGGCCCCGTGGGGGAGCAGCCCTGCCACACCCTGGCTTCTGTGGGCCTGTNGGGAGCAGCCCTGCCACGCCCTGGCTTCTGTGGGCCTGTCAACCTGTGTGCAGGTGGAGAGCTGGGTGTCCCCCAGGCCCTCAGCACGTGGATTCTGCTGCATCCTGACCCCCTCCCAGAAGATCCTCCCAACACACGCCTCTGTGTCATCGCCACACCCACCAGGCCCCCTCCCTGGAGCCCTTGGCGGTGACGCTGTCCTCAACCACAGCCCCTGGGGACCGGCCCCGAAGGCTAGGGGCGGCCCACGCTCTCCTGCAACCATGTATGGCTCGGGTCTTATATTTAGTGCCTGAGACAGGCAGTGTGGAGCCGCTGGGAGAGAACCCGAGGGACGGGGCACAGCAACGCCGCTGCGCCTCACTCCCAGGGCCCGGCCTCGGCACTGCCCACCGGACCCTCAGCCGCGCCCCTCCCCCTGCCCGAGGCAAGCGGTGTACACTCTACAGGAGGGGAGGCGGAGGTGGCACCCAGAGAAGCCAGGTCACGCGCCCACCACCCCAGAGTTGGGAACGGCAGACCCAAGTGAGACTGGACCCTAGGAGGGGACCTGGAACCGGCGAGGCCACCCCAACTTTACCCGGTAACTCAGAGGGGAGACTCCAGGGGCCATCTGAGGTCATACTGGATTCAGAGGCTGAACCCAGCTGCCTGTTCCCCTCCCAGAGGCCCCGCTGCCCCCTGCCTTGGTGAGGGTCCTGGGTGTCCTCCCTTGAGCTTCCGGAGCCCACCCATGGGCCTGCTGGGAGCACAGAGCACAGCCTGTGGGCACCTGGCATTTCAGCCGCCCCTCCTGTTTGCCGTGGGTCCACGCCGGGAGGCAGCCCCTCATCCTCCCACCTGGCCAACTGCCCTTCGGGACCCTGGGGTCCTCCCAGGAGGCAGCCTGGCTGAGGGGCAGAGAGGGCTCGGCCGACCTGCGTGTGTGCCCAGCTCTGGCCCTTGCCAACAGGCCCTGACCAGGTCACTGCCCTGTCTGAGCCTCAGTTTCCTCACCCGCACCTCTAGCAACATCAGCCTTCTGGGAGCACCTTGACAGGCATCAAAGGGGGTGTCGGGGTGCTCATAACCCCTCCCCCAGGGCCCGAAGCCCTGAGCCCTCCCTGTGACTCTGTGGTCTCGCCGACCCTCCCAGGCCCAGCCCTCTCGGCCCCCGCACTGTCCACTCACCCAGATGCGCAAGACCTTCCGGCCGCCTCTGCCCACCCACCCCAGGCCCTGCCTCGGGCCGCCCCTCCCGCTCTCCTGGCTCCTCATCACTGCTGACTGCTGGGCCACCCGGCTGCCGGCTGCAGCCTGGTCCCTCCCGGGCAGCTTCTTGGTGGCAGGGAATGAGACCGCGCCCAGCACCATGAAAAGTGGGGCAGACGGGCCTCAGCATATGCACGGCCACCCCCTTGGGTGCTGCTGCTTAAAGAGGCGCCCAGAACTGGCCCTCCCCTTCCCGCTTCCATTGGCCCGAGTCCCTGTTCCTTTGGCACTGGCTGAGTGGACAGAGAACTCTCCCAGGCCAGGCCTCTGGCATCCCAAGTGTCCTGTCCAGCCAAGAGCCCCAGGGGTCCCTGGATGCAGAAACACCAGAGCCAGCCAGCGTCGCCTACACCAGCCCTCCTGGTACTACCCAGTGGCCCCTGTCCCCGGGGCCATGGGCTCACTCCCCAGAAAGACCCCACTTATGGGGCCCCTTTGGTCTGTGGGGCAGAAGGTGACCAATCCCAAGCCGGAGAGCGCACACAGGCTCCACTGGTTGCGGTCTGGTGTGGACGGGGTGTCCAGAGATCAGCTGGGGACCCAGTGGCTAGGCAGGGGCAGCTTTTCTCCCACTGTGATGCCCCCTGGGCAGGTCCTGGGCAGAGCACGTGTCCCAGAAGTGTTCCAACTGGTTTTCGGGGCGAGAGACTGAATATAGAAATGGACCAAGGCCAGACAGCATATAAGGATAGAACTCTGACCCGGAGCCTGCCCCGGAAGCGGGTCCCTCATCTGCAGGAACCAGCCCAGGAAGCAGCTGCTCCAGTGGGACCTGCAGGAAATCAGACGTCCATCTCGAGGGGCAGCCCAGGAAGCAACAGGCAGGTTCCAGAATTCTGTCCCCACTTCCAGCTTAGGACCCACCAGGGAAAGTCAAATGTGCTCCCCAAGCAATCACAGGGGACACCCTGCTTCTTATGGGCTGCCCAGATTCCCTAGCCCCCCTCAGGGCACCCCTTTTGTCAATTTATTACCTATCAACATGTAAAATGCAATGCATATATATTGCATGCATATGTTATATACGTACATGATGTTATATGTATGTAGTAACAATTAGCATGTGCACACATAATAACACTACAAAGCTCCTTCACTCTCCTGCCTGCCCCGGGCACCCACCGCGAGCAGTGCTGGTGGCAGACTCCGGGCTGCCTGCCTTCTGGGTGGCGGAGAGCAGGGCTGAGTGGAGGGAGCACGAACTGGCCCCGGGCAGGCCTCGGGCACCCTGCACCCTGCGTGTACTGTTCTCAGGGGCAGGGCCTGGGGGACGCTATTCCTGACAACACCCGGCCAGCCTGGGAGGCAGCACCTTGGAAGGAGGGGCCTCATTCCTGCGCTCCTGGCTGTGCCCCCAGGAAGTGCCCGTCTCTGCTCTCCATCTGTAAAGTGTCTTAGAGGGTGGCAGCAGGGTTCCACTTGGAGAACTGGGCCCAGTGGGCAGTGAGTGCTCAGGGACACTCGGCTGCAGTAATAAGTCTGTGGATGCCTGTCCTTCCACCCTCGGGCCCTGCCCAGCCCAGTCCTGCCCTGCCCAGCCTTCGGGCTGTGTCCTGCTCCCATCTAGGCCTGGCGCCAAGACCGGGCGGGGCTGGGA